TCGTCCTGTTAGTTGACAAATTTTTAAAATTATAAAGACATAATTGGAACTGCATCTGTCGGTAGTCCATTTTTAACAATTACCAGTGGTTGCTACTGACAAGTTTAAAACACATAAACAATCCAACAGACATACAAAGTAATAAGAAGTTACTGTAACACGCAAATCCATGTTCAAATTTCAAATCTGGTAGCTCTGCATCGTGTATACGTTTAACTACCCTTGAAAAAAATTACATTAGTAAGAATTTTTCGATTTAAATCCAGGCCCATTAATCGTAACAGCGATTTACTTTAAGGTCTGGCTATGAACTGAAGGAAAATATACACGGATGAGATCGACCGTTTTCCGAAGACCCTTAGTAAATTGAAACAAAACAAAGCGTAAATGCGGAGCAGTTCCGAGTGCTTCATGTACGAGGTGCGATCAGAAAGTTTCAAGACTGCGCCTATAAAAACCCGTACACTTATCTCAGGTATTAAATTCATCCATCACCCTCGAAGTAGTTCCCCTGGGAGTGAACACAACGATCCCAGCGCCGCTGCCAAGCCTGGAAGCATCCCTGGAAATCTTTCTTTGTCAGCCTGTCAAGCACCATCTGCGATTCTGCCTGAATCTCTTCTATCGTCTCAAATCTAATTCCCTTTAGCTGAAATTTCATCTTTGGGAAGAGGAAGAAGTCACACAGCGAATAAGGAGGGTGCGGGATGACGGCCATGGTGTTTGAGGCCAAAAACTGCCGAACTTTGAAGGCGGTGTGCGCTGGTGCGTTGTCATGATGCGTCGCATGTGGAGTTCTTCCTTTAGAATCAGCTCACAGGTCCCATAGCCTATCCCAACAATGTCGCACAAGACGTTGATGGTACGACGTCGATCTTCGTAACAGTTTCGGGCGTTGTGCTCGAAGATGGTCGTCCAGAACGCTCGTCATCATCGACAGAGGTTCGGCCATTTTTAAAACGTGAATGCCACACAAAAGTTTGTGCACGACCCATTGCGGACTCCCCAAATGCTTGCTTTAGCATTTCACAGGTTTCCGTAGCCGTTTTGGCGAGGCTTTGGCAAAATTTGATGCACACGCCATTCCGAAATCGCAGGAGGGTCGGTGTAATGCACTACCAAAACGCCCGTAACTAAGAAACAAATGCTAATTCGATGATGCCGGCTGGCACACTGATTCACTATGAATGTAGGCCGCACCCCCTAGAGGCAGAAGCTCGTACTACATCCGGTTCGCCCTCTATTGACACAGTATGGAAACTTTCTGATCGCACCTCGTACATGTACAGTATATACAAATCTGTCCAATCCTGCTTTTGCCTCATGCAAAGAAGTAGGAGTACGAGTAATATTGGAAATTTGAAAATTGAACCAAGAATGAGCTTCAAGAAGTATTGTTATTCTTCAGAAGCTAATAGTCATTCGGTTGAAGATTGCTGTCTCCTGGATTATCGCGCCGTGTAGTCTGGTAGATTTCCACCGTTTCAGAGGTCATACTGCCTCCGTCATCAGGGTGATTCATCTGAAAATTTGGTGTAAATCTACCAGACTACACGGCGCAACAGCCCAGAAGACAGCCATCTTGAATCAACAATCTTCTTTATAAATATTTTATTAATTAGACTAGTTGAGAGATTCGTCGATACATTAGCCTTCATGAGCTCCATTTTTCTGGTTTCTACCGACAATACCGCTTGGAAAATGCAACTTATAATTTCCTAACTCATTTATGTTATTCATTTGTGCTTTATTTAACGACGCCCTCAGTATTTCAGACTACAAGCGTGATATTCACTTTCCTTCAACCTGGCCTTCGATGATATCACTCAGTATTCCATTCCTTCTCATAATATGTCCCTGCCAGTTAGCTTTCCTTCGTGTAATCTTTGCTCGTTGACTCTCCTCAATACTTCTTCGTTGGTCACTCGATCCGTCCACCTGATCTTCTCTATTCTTCTCCAACACCACATTTCGAAACTCTCCAGGTATTTCTGTTCCTTCTTCCTGAGTGTCCAAGTCTCTGCTCCATACAGCGCGACACTCCATACGTAACACTTCACTAGTTTCTTCTTCATCTCCAAGCCCAACTTGCTAGTGAGAAGTATCCTCTTCTTGACGAAAGCTGCCTTGGCCATGGCTATCCTTGCTTTTACTTCCTTGGTGCATAGGGCGTCCGTCGTGACTATGCTTCCCAAGTACTTGAAATGCTCCACATTCTCCAGCTGTTGGTTTCCAACTACAACGTTCAATGGTTCTGCTCTCGGTGCTATCCTCATTACCTTTGATTTTTCAATGTTGATTTCCATTCCATACTCTCTACCTGTTTCTACTAACTTGTCCATCATGTTCTGATATTCACGTTAGGATAACAAAATTATAAATACTGAACTATGAACAGTCCAGAAACACAGGAGAAGATACAATCCTAATTGTTTAAAAACTAAACGGGAACTTCGTATCATCCTACTATTTTAGTATGTTATTATGAACAATTGCCCGGAAACTTGAGATCACAGACAGGCTTCTATTCATATCGGCTGTCAGGGTTGTGTTGCATCCTTCCAATTGTTGATGTGATGCAATACTTGAGGATGACCTTATTCCCCTCTTCAATTTGTAATTACACTTTTGTTACATGTAGGCCTATTCTCGAATAGGAAACTGGCAATTCACGATTAATTGACGTAATTGTTACAGCAACTCACGTATATTTATTGCACACTGCGGTGTACCTACCTAGCAATTAGAATGATCCACTTATGTAATTTTCAACTGTGATCAACAAATTTATAAAACGCGGCTTACGTAACAGAAAACCACATTCAATGTATCTTCAGCGAGTGTTTTGAATTTCGTAAGAGATACAAAATTTTTGTTTTCAACAAAGTAATCAATACAAAACATTTGATTAATTATTTGTCGCCGAAGCTCGTCTAAATAACATTTAAGAGTTAAGTCCGTACCTAAAAGAAAACAACACTTCTTCATCACACAGATCAATGGTAAATGCTGTTCAGGGTAATAATTGCTGTTTGTTCTGGAATCATACGAAACAGTTACTGATTGTGTTTTGTTAAACCGTTAGTGTAATGGTTATGAGCAGTTTCTGATAATATAAATTTGCTGGTAAAAGATAATAAAAACTGTTAATTTAGACTTAAAAAAGCGGAAACGTCTTTAGAATATAAAGAAAAGACTAACAATTGTAAAGCCTAATATAATTTTATCGATTGTGTTCGATATGTATTGATACTTATCATAAAGCAGGAAATATGAGATATGAAATTATAACAGTAGTAAGAATGTCTATGTTGGTTTTCGGGGAAGCACCGCAGTGTAGCCTTGCAGGTTGATACATTGTTCACAAGGAATATTCTGCCTCCATCTATAGGGTAAAGGACTTCAGCCCTGAAGCAACGTTGATACCTACCTACAAGCGTTACTACTGAGAAGAACAGCATCAACATGAACGAGACGAGACGAAGGGAGTTTTGGAAGAAAAGATTTTTCCTCTTACAAGACGGACCATGACTGTGCCACAGAAAGTGAAACGTATTTCATGTATGAACCAACCGCAGAGCTTTCTCATACATATTTATTGCCTTGGTATATATGTTTGAGGGACAAACAATTCAATCAGAAGGAATTTGTTCTGATATCAGCTTGTCAAATGAATTTATGACGCAGGAACCGGTAAGTATTGTGAATGTTATAATACAAAGCTGAAGCCTGTATGGTAATTGTGGTTGAAATAACGACTTTCATTACGCAAGCATGGCAGGACATGAAATTATTGCTGCAGGTTCCTAATTGGCATTTACATCCCGGTCTTTGTGCGAAACGCGCATGCACACTGCCGACTTTAATGTAATACGAAGCTTATATGAAGTTTCAAGAAACTGGGAAACGAAAGCATTGCGTAACAGATCTGGCGTGTCCGATGGAATTTAAACTTTGACTTTCCGTTTGGCGCCTGTGACAGCAAACTTATGTGTAGACAATGTTCTTTGCGTGGTTAAGGTTTCAGACGTCTTGAAGAAATTATTTGAGCATAAGAGTGAAGAAGTAGCAGTATGCTAGAAAGTTCCATAATGCGGAACTTCAGAAATTGTTCCTTTCACCAAATCTTATTAGGGCGATAAAATCAAAAAAGGGTGAGACGTCATGACCACGTATCAATCAGCTTCAGTCTTTTTCTATAATCTTGCTTGGACAGAAGTGTTGTGTTCATGTGAATTACATGTTTAGGTGAAGCAAACTGTTGGTTTCCAGCATTAAGCATAGGTTCCAACTGGTGTGTTAAACAGAGATGGTTCGATGCAGGCAAGCTGCAGAGTTGGTACATAAAGCATTCAGTTACATCAAGCGTGAAGCAGATGCCGGCAGACCCATCCACGATGTTGTCAAAGCGTAGATCTTTACGGTAGTTATTGTTTGCATAATTACTTTCACTCTTGGTGCGATTAAGAATTATGATGCTTTACATTACGTTAACACGCATTGCCATATTTGTGAACCTGACTCTTGGAATCGATCTTTATCTTTCCTAAACAAGCGCCACTGTGGGCGACATGACCTATCGACGAAAGCAGCCTACAGGAATTGATAGTCTGCATTGGAAACGAACATTAATTGGTATAGTTCAGTTTTGAAACCAACGCACTTCGAACGAGAGAACAAACCCACATGTCAGGAATTTCTTTTGCCTCGACATACAAGACACACGAAGCACGGAAGAGATAACAAATGGTTACAACTTTAGTCGTAAGACCTACCCTGAAGGCAGGATATAGAGTAGTAGAAAAAGAGTATTAAATCGGAAAATATTAAACCTTTAAAGTCGAAGTACGTCTAAATAATATTTAAGAATACAGTACGTACCGCAAAGAAAACACAGAAATGCACCACAACAAAGATTAAGTGGTTAACGCTGTTTCAGAAAATGATCGCTGTTTACGATAAAAGTCATACAAAATCCACGAACACAAAATAAACGGTTATAGGTTGTTGAAGGAGGTTATCACTAGGCTTTAAAGAGATTTTAGAATAATATTAAAGCGGATCTTAGAAAACATTAATGTGAACATGCGAACTGAATTCAGCTGTATCGTGATAGGGACAAAATGAAAATGGCTACGAACCTTCAGGTTTAATAAACTCAGAAGTATGAACTTCTCTTGAAAGACCCAGCACCATCCAATTAGTTAAGTGTCACTACTAAATGAAGTTCAGAAGTAAGTTCGAACTACAGCTGCAAATTTTAAATTTTGTGTATTGTTAGGTCCAAATACAAGTCACAAGCTTCCGTAAGAGTATGGCTGACATTATCAATTAACAAGAAAAGTGCCGATTACTGTGGTCGATCGGTCGATCTGGGTCATTCAAACGCTGGAACCGTGGATTCGAATCCCACTCACATATGTGTCCGCTTTTTTATGTTTCGTTATTCCGTGTAGGTAGAGGGAGGCCTTGCGACGGGAGTCCTGCCAACTGTCGAAAAAGATTTAAAAAAAGCCGGCACAAACATTCTCCACAAAGGCCAAGGCTGAAAGTGGGCTGTAGCGCCCTTGCAATAGAAGTGACAGGAAAAAGGATTTGTTTGAATACACCACACAGCACAGCCGACGCTTGTGACACTGCGTTTGCGGACTGAAGTATACACGGCACAGTGACACAATAAGGTCTGCAAGAAGTCCTCCTGTTTGTCCGACTGACCGGCCGGTAAGTCTTGTACCTTAGAGCATATAACGTTCTCGCCTGTTTTACGGTTAAATTAATTCGCAACAAACAACCGTGTTCAACAATTCCACCAGAACAGCCTTCGCCGTTCCTGTTTAACCATTTGAGATACCAAATCTCAGATACGAGGATAATATTAAAGTGGATCTTAAATATTATTGAAGGCATATAGAATTGATTCATCCGGTACAGGATAGGCAACCATGTTTACGCCACAATCGCTTGGTACAAATGGACTTCAACTGAGCTTCCTCCATCGAGTCCTTGAGAATCTAATAGTATGTTCAGCTAGCCAAGAAATTCCCAGCCAGTCAGGATAGTCGGGCTTCGAACCTGGTACTTCCCGAATACGACGGAGTGCCAATGCAATTACTTCGCTCATTCATAGTCACAGGCACAAAAGCAGCGAGTGACCTGAGGTTCATGCAACTCAGCAGCCGTCGAATGAATGAAGTTGTCCGTAGGGAAGATACGCCGATAATGACAAGGGAAGTAAAGGGCTTAAAGACGTTGCCAAAGTAAACACAATGCACTATAATCAGTCTTCGCCTTAGGAAAGCAATGCTATTTCAAGCCAATTATTCTGCATACATAAACCAATACAATTTTCGATCAGCAGTCTGTAATTACTAAGCCGATGTTCCTATCCTATACGTGATTAACATAGAAATGTAACCCGTTTATTGAAAACTGCAAGGGCTTTACGACCGGTTGTTTAAGACCAAGACTCAGAATTAAGAATATGACAAAAAAGACAAGAGGACAAGCAAGGACAAAACAACAATAAACACAGCGTAATAACGGACCAAATAACTAATAAACCGGTCGCGTCTTACTCATCCCATGATGACGGAAGCAGTAAGTACCTCTGAAACGTCAGTAAATATCCACCAGAGTACAACGCTCAACATTCCAGAACAGTCATCTACATTCTACTTACTGTGCATTGTGATAGTCAAGTACGTATGTCACTCGAACAAACGAGTTTGTCACAGTCTTACCGAGTAACCTATTCTCTTGGTGAGATCGTCCTGATGATGGAGGCATTTCGCATCTGTGACGCGTAACACCCTAGGACGCTGCTATCTTCAACCTATTCTCTTCTTAAAACATATATAACACATGAACTAAGCAACTGTCCTCTTGATGTTATAATTCATACACAAACCAGGATTTCTCAGACGGATTTCTGCTAGACTACTCCAAGGCTGGAGTACTCACCAGTCCGTTGCATGCAGATACTGCAACCTGTGAACCAGGTTGGCCGCGAATGGCACCCTGATAATGGCATCGTGTAGCACGAACAGATGGCGGCGAAAGTCTGGGAGCCGACAGATTGGCAGTACGTCGTTCCACGACGAGACCAGGAGCAAAGAAGTCGCTACTGGGCCACAGCTCCAGATGGAGAGGCTGCTTATGTCCCAGGATTCCGACCGGGATGTGATAGTTCACTACGGCTTCCGTACTTCTCTTGTTCCTTCGACCATGCCCAGGGGTCTTGAAATATAATTCTTGCTCGCCGTTTCTATGGTGATGGTTTAGATCATGTGACAAGAACTGGCCGTCTTCTGTCACCTTCGTAGGGATAACTAACTCATATTCGTCAATGTCCAAAGAGTACAGACCTGCAACAAAAGACAGGAAGATTACAAGGGACTTATTTGCCGCTTTCACATTGCACATTTCACACTCAGCTCTCCCAGCTTCGAGGCTCGGTGCAATGGATGGCACAGGAATGGCTATATTTCGCTCGCATAACAGATGGAAGCATACTAATAAATGCCAAATTTTCCAAATATTTATCAATATTCTTATATTAGGCCTACTTGCCACCACATCTCAGTAGAAAAGCAAGCAATAAGTCTCCTACAACTTTGGATTTAAGCAAAGATTTTAAATAATTTAAAATAAGTTATGCGAACGAACATGTGCGGGGTCGAATAATGAAACAAAATAACTTATTCTGGAAAACAAAAATGTCACCAGCCTTCAATGACCGAGATTACCTTAAAATGACTTGTGATCTGTCCTTGTGTATTCATTCAACAGTCTCTGCCCTGCCTGGAAACAATGCTGAAGGGCACTCTCCGAAAGCCTTTTTAGTATATACGTTCGTCATTTTCCTGTGTACGTCAAGTGATTTAACATGGCACCCTTGCAAGCAGCCTTTAGCTTACATAAGTAATACATGATTCGGGATTACACGAGGATAATAGAGTGGATGGCCTCACATTGATAAGCTTCTCAATAAATGTTTCACAGGACTAACCACAATACAGTCATAACGAAAAACAATTTATTTATTTATTTCAGTACAGTTTATTTTAAGAAACAGCCGGAAAAGAAATAAGTTTTTTCGTATCGTCATTTCTCTTCAAATATTGTGTGACTCCAAAAGGAAAAAGTTCCCGAAAGATTACTTGATTCCTATTTTTACTTACAAGAAGGGAAGTCACATCGTTTCCTGCTTAAGGGTTTCCTGTGAAGATGATTTCCTTACATGTTAAGACCTCTGGAAAACTACTGAGAGGCTTGTAAGATTTGAGGTTTTCACAGCAGTGAGTATGAAGATTTCAGTCGTCTGGGTTGATGCTCTGTGTAGTAAGGTCGATGTTAACCAACGTTTCAGAGGTCATACTGCCTCCATCATCAGGGCGATGAGTATGAAGATTTCTGTCTTCTGGGTTGTTGCGCTGTGTAGACTGGTCGATGTTAACCAACGTTTCAGAGGTCATACTGCCTCCATCATCAGGGCGATGAGTATGAAGATTTCTGTCTTCTGGGTTGTTGCGCGGTGTAGTCTGGTAGATGTTTACCAACGTTTCAAAGGTCATACTCCCTCCGTCATCAGGGCGATTCATCATACTACACAGCGCAACAACCCAGAAGACATAAATCTTCATACTGAGAGGCTTAAATATTATATTGTCCGCCATGTTGTAAAATGTAGAGTGGATAAAGAGACGAGGTCTTAGGATGCTCTTCAGAATCTCGACCTTAATACCAAATTTTTAATTGCGTAAAAGTTAAAAATTTCTAACGAAGTACGGCTGCGTACTCCTTCTTAAAGCATGTGGCAAGTGGGTAAGATATAAACAGACTGTATTAGATGTTTGGTAATGGATCTATTATTATGCCTTCTCCATAGAACTTCAGCTGTCAAATACAATTGCTTTGATCACGAGAAAACTTGCTCTAATATAAACGTAACAAGGAGCAATAGTATGCGTCATACTTAAAATTAAGATAGGAATAAAGTCTTAACTTGAGGAAGGACAAAATATGAGCGTATGGAATCAGAAATGGTTGATTTGCATAAGACCCTCTGTACGAATATCACAGCATTAAGTAATTGTGTTCGTTATAAAAGAAGCAGCGCTCGGAATAGAGATGTTAGAATTGTGGCAACTTGAACTGACATTGAATGGGTTGCGGGTAAAAAGGTTAATTACGATTTATGTATCTTTACATTTGTAAATTTGCAAGGAAGGAAGAATGTGTGTAGTCCTTTGACACGCATACACTACATGTTCAACGCCGTTATAAAAATAACTTCCAAACGTCAATGTACAAGAAAGAAAAAATCGAAAAGAAAAACAACAAGATATGTAATTTTGGTTTGGGTGTAAACAGAACACGTTCAACATCTCATGAAACTTGCGAGCAGACAAAGGCCACAAAGCTTAATGGGTTACCTCAGCAAAATCGACTTTCCAAGTTGAAAACTGAATGCAGCACACACTGAGAAAAATTGTAATGTCCTGAAACCTGAATTATAGTGTCGATATGCTGAAGCCAGATGTCGAGCGTTCATGTTAACTACGTTAGCCTGCTCACGGCGAGCGCCTGGCTGGCTGCAGCTGGCTAAACATGCATTTTATCTGATCGGTTCTGCTGTGATATAGTGCATGGAGTACCACTGAACCACCAAAGTTAGAAAGAGGACATTTTATTTTTGGGTTTTCTGATGATGCATAGATCAGCGTTTCTCAACCTATGGTGCGCGTACCACTGGTGGCAAGCGAGCCAATGTTGAATGATACGCGAATTAAGTAAGAAAATCAAAAGATGAAATTACAATAAATAAGTTTTCCGTGAACGTATTTGGCCAGTGGTACATTTAATGTGTTGAATTGGGATTAAAGCCAGCGAAAAAGGGCGAGAACCCCTGGCATACAGTAGATGATTTTGTAGGGTATTCGTAGTTTTAAAGGTTGTTTTCAGATTGATGGCTCTGAATATTTTTCTGTTCTCTACCTGTGTAAGTGAAAGTAACTCATCTTCTTGCGCTTTCTTTGGCATAGTTTTGCGTTCTTTAGTTTCTTGTCCACTAACATCCGCTATTGATTTTATGGAATTTTTATTTGAATTACTGATTTTTAATCACGGTTTGTTTTATTATATTTTATTCGTTGGTCTTTCTTTCTTCATAGGGTATGTATTTATTCTATTCACAGGCAAGAGTTAGGAAGGCTTTTGTTGGATGTCACGAATTGTTATGAACGATGCTATCTCTGGTCGCGGGTTTCCTATATACGTCTTATTCGGAAGGGCAAACATGAATATTTCCAGAAAAGTTGTTTGAACCTGATGGAGTGGATAAAACTGCATAAAAGAATAATTATTTTCTTCTCCAAGTGCTGTTAAGGGTCTATGGACATGGAGTTAAACGCACTTGGAAAGGGGCCATTTGGAATATGAAGACAGAAATTATAGGATGAAATTAAATAAATCTCAGAGTCTGAGCATCTGTATTTTAACATTGCATTACATAGACAATATTGTGGATGACATAGACCTTGCGACGATACTTCTCCATATAGAAAGGGCGCATCACTTATAATAGGCCTACATTCATACAAACTGTGGTCTTCTCGGCTATCATGTTTTGTGGAATTTTGGCTGGTTGTTAACGTTTAGGAGAAATTTAGTACGTTCATATTCAAGGCTAAAGTTCTATCCTGAAGAGGGAGGCAATATGTTCCTCCGAAACGCTGGTATCTATTTACAAGTTCACATGGCGTTACTAACTAGAGAACCAAGGTTGACATCTTCACCGCCATGAGAAACTCAAATCTTACATAAGCCTATTTTACGATATGTTTCGGAGGTAGTAACCACGAGTTTTCGGTGGCACTACACCCTCCTTGTTCCCTCACGTTCTTTGTTTTAGAATGTTGAGTCGGGGTCCGTCCGCTCATGACACTTACCACACAATTTCCACTGCCAGGTGTTTGTAAGGGCTTCCTAACCTCTTACGTACATTCACCCTCAAGACGGGAACTACAATGTTTGCCGAAATGTTGTAAAACCTTCAAAACTCAACGTGGCTTATCCACAAACGCCAAAATAATTTACATCTTTAGATGCGTTAATAATGAAGACACCTTTCACGTATATCTCATGTGTATTTAAAACTGGTTTTGGTATTTCAAATACTTTTATTTCTATTCTCTCTTGAAAAAGAATGGCATTTGTAATGTCTTCTGTCATCATTAAATTCAGGCCAACTGCTGGCGAGGGTTTCCAGCAAAGACGAGTGACCTTCACCTGCCTTGAGCGCGTTCTGACTCAGTTCCTGTCCTTCATGACGTCATCTGTTCTGGTCCACAGGAACAGTCGCGTTGTTGTGAGAGATTAAATGAGGAGATAACGAGTGAAATCGTGTATTCACGCAAATACCTACTCATACACTGAAAAGGTGCGTTGTTGCGAGTGTTCAAATACTCGTGAAGATATGAAGTATGGATTGTCTTGTGTGACGCGACAATCAAAAATAATGAGTTACCACCGATTCGTACATGTCTGGTTGTGCCAGACAGCAACACATTTGAAATACGCTGTTCTTTTGTTTGTCCCTTCTTATCCAGTATCACATGGCATTACACACTGCACAAATATGACTAACATTCACTCTCGTCTTTGCGACAAGTTTACATAAGAGTTATGGTGTCGGTAGGATGTCCATTTAGTGAATTACCATGTCCAATATATGCAGTGTTGATCTGTTGACCGAGTATTCCCACACACAACATTCCTTTACTGGACTTCAAACACAGTAAAGTGTTAGTAATTAGTACACTTATCCGCACGTTGTTTCATTAACGATGATTCACCTTCGTAGTTTCAGCAGAGTCCTGTTAAACAATAAGATGTTCATAAAAGTTGAGTAACTTTTATTTGGCTTAGGCATTGGATCTAAGATCGAAGTAACACACTAGGAACTACGAAACAGCATATTCTAAAGCTGCTCTATATTTTATATTGAATGAGGATTTTTCGTACTTTTCCTCAGTCGCTCTATGAAAATATCGGGATTATTCCTTAAATTATCCCAGGGCCACTTCCTTTCTAATTCATCGTCGATGCTACATATCCTGAGTTACTGACAGCGTCATTAAATAAATCACAAACATATCTTAGATGGTGACATCATAGATTCTCACGGTGACGAGTATGAAGATGGCTGTGTACTGGGATGTTGAGTTTTGTGATCTGGTTTAAACTGACTGAGGATTCAGAGACGTTTTCTGCCACCATCATCAGGGCGAGCACCGCCGTGACAACCTGACATATTTCTTAAGACCCGGATTAGAATTCTGCAAAGTTACACCTTGTCAAGGCT